ATGGTTGCAAAACGGGAGGGATGGGGTTTGTGGTCGAAAACACTCACGGTCTGCTTCCTCCTGGCTAATGTGCCAAATTGATCTATTGCATGATTGAGGCATGCTGTTTCACTTTTTTGTGTGTGAATCCGTGAAAAGGGAGGTAAGGTTTGGGGGTACGGAGCATGCCCCTGAGCCCAAGGTGAGACCACTTTCATTTTTTTACTTTACTCTTCCAATTTGCATCATATACATGGACACAAATACAGAGAACAATTTTTTAAAGTAAAGAACATTTATTATTATAATCTGGTATATACATGAAAAATGTCTTTTGGTTGCATTATGTTTTGAACAAGAGGCATTTAAATAATTTTTGGGGGGGGTAAAGAAGTGAACTATGCACATTTTTTGCAGTTGTACTCTTTCTTGTCATCAGGCAGGTAGTCTTGATTGGTTCCTTCTGTAATGCAGGGCAAATGTGCCCACCTCTTGCAAGAATCACACTGTACCTTTGATAAGTGACAATTAAGAAATGAAATCACAGAAGTTATAATGTTACACATACTTTTCATTCACTCATGCTATTCCTTCCACATGTCAGCATTACCTAACGTATGTATGCCTATCAGCATGAAGAAAATGTTTACTGATGTGGATTTTTTTACAAGAATCATGATCCTTAGGCAGTTTATGGCATTTATTTCTCATATAATTCTATGTTTCTTACCATCGTGCAATCCTCACTTTCCTTTTCACAGTTGACGAGGTTGCAGTATATGCAGTAGTCTTCCACGTTTTCTTAAAAATATATATATCGTTATGAAATGATGAATACATTATGACCAAACTGAAAATGCAAATCTTCATTTATTAATTAATGTCAATATTTTAATCCAGTCAATGGTTTGAACGTATCTTTTCCTTTTTTGTGACTCATATTTTCTCAAATTTTTAGTTTACTGCCCCTGTATCTAAAAATGCCAATTTCATTTAGCTGGCCGATCAATAGCAATCATCATTCACCTGATTCAAATTTTTGTGTACTTAAGGATATTATTGGTTCATAGTCACCATTACAGAACCAAACCTGTGAGATATCCCACTTTAGGGGTATTAAGATAACTGTCTGCTATGTGACATAATTCCACTCTTCATGTTATCTTCACATGTGCCTAATGAGATAACAGTACATGGTAGAAAGTAATTACCTGACTCCTTCATTAGAAGAATTGCTATATGTCTTCTAAACGCAATATTAGCCTCTTGTGTTGTTTCTACCATACTGATGTCTTTGTGCTCCAAATACGCTTCTGCAAACTAACAACACTGATATTTAGAATAAACATCATAATTACCAGAGGTGAAAGTGGGCCGGTTCAGCATACCAGTAAGACCCAGCCACTTGTACCGGCCCTTACACGGCTGACGTTACACTTCCGCTGTGGTAGTGCTTTATGCTTTAATGTCGCTGCCCCCTTTAGCCCCCCCCGCCCCCGCCTTTTTTTTTCCCCCTCTGATCCCTAAATGGCCCCCTTAAGGATTGGGCTCACAACCCTGGGTTTAGCAGACCAATGCTCAAACCACTGAGCTATCCCTCTCCCCCATGGGAACCCATGGAAACATTCTACTTACTTTCCATTATGTGTGTTGTTGAGTTAAGTTTTTAGTTGGTGCAAGTTTTTGGGAGAAAATAGTTTTCTGAAACTCTGAAGAATCTGAAATAGAGAAACACCTATATATAAGGGGACTCTTGCTCCCTTACTAACATTCAGTGGGGGTGTTTTGGTTGGCTAGCTCCCAGCACTGAAAGGGGAATGGTTGATGGGAAATCAGGAGCCTGAGACTGACAGTCCCCAGGAACAATGAGAGGCCAATGCTCCAGGTCAGCCTGATTGACATGACAGGAGGCCAGGGGGGTCCTGTCCTCCCGGTGAGCTGGAATGGCCTGAGTCAAACTGAGTGGGGCCGAGCTAAGGAGAAAGGAGGGGCCCAAGCTGAGCTGGAGAGCAGAACCGGGCCAGATCCAGAGGGGCCAGATCCACAGCCACTGAGCCAGAGACGCATCCCAGTGAGAGCAGATCCTGTGCTGGGAGCAGAGCCTCAGCCACAGAGCCAGGTGTGGTGAGCAAGTGGGGCCAGCCAAGGGGGGACCTTGGTCAAAGTGCCCAGCACAGAAAGACACCCCCAGCCAAGGGCCCTTGCAGGCCAGACCGGGAGGGGGACCTTAACCTGACGGGGGCAACGCTGGGAAGAAGGGTCCCACCACTCGAAGCACGGAGGTGTGTGGCCACCACCATTGCAAGTGTCCAACCCGCAGCATCCCTGCAGCACAGCCAGGACCTGAGAAGGAAATCTGGGACCTGCAAGGAACAGACTGCGAAGTGCCCTGATGTCCAGAGACACTGTTTGTGATGTTCCCTGCCACAGAGCTGTGTGATGTGTTTTCCTTTAACCTTTCCCATTTTTCCTTCTTCTTTTCTTTAGATTAATTGTTAATTAAACAACTTGTATTTGCTTTAAATTGTATGGAATAATCAGTGGGTCAGGGAGGTGCCCAGTGCAGAGAGACTACCCCGGAGTGGGGACACCCTAGCCCCTGTCCTAGGTGACCACAGCAGGGTTGGTGGTCAAGCCCCCCAGGAATCCTGGGCCCAGCCTTGTCGGGGTTTACGAGGACTGTGCCAGACAGGAGAGTGGAAGGGGAGTCCTCAAGGGCAGGGAGGCCTCTGGGTAAAGGAAGTGGGAGCGAGGACTCAGATCCTTTCGCTAGCCCACTTCACCGGGGTAGTGCAGAAGCCAGGAAAGTTCCCCACAATAGCGGGACCATTCCCCCGCTTACATATAACATACACATATCAGTATCACCTCATTCTCAGCTATGCCTTTAATCAATCATTTTACTGTAATTTAACTAATGAATCCTAAAATAATGTTAGTGCATTATCTAACAAATTAGATCCCACCACCTGAATTGTTTTTCACCGGCAAAATTACTTATACATCAGCCAAAGAAAATCAAAAAACCAGACACAGACCACACAGATAAACAATAGAGAAATGGGGAGCAATAAATAAATAAATCACCATGATTAAAGGCATGCAAACCATTTAAGAAATGACTATACAGTTATTTTAAAGATTCTTGATTAAACATGCAGTTAGCCAGGAAGACCATTAGTATTTGTGTACTTTTACCAGATTTGACCATTACTTGGGGTATGCTCAGTTATTGGGGCTACTTGTTTGGGTTTTTTCCCCCTGATAATTCTAATAATGTACTGCTTGTGTATAAAGCTGTTGTAAAGCACCCCTCTTTCACTACTAACAGTATTGCTGTAAAACCTTTATTTTTAAGGCACAACTCTTAACTCCTTTGTGCACAGTTCTACAGGTATTCTAAGCAAGATTCTTAGTAGAAGGTTAACAAATATTCTGTGAGAGAGAGATAGACCTTGCTAAAGGAGCTTGGTCTGAAAAAGAAAGCTTGCTCAGGTCTGTGCCTCAGTTTCCCTACTCCACAGCAACTAATCAACAATTAACATGTGATTATGGTCACATGCTGCCTGCATTTGTTCAACAATTTGTGACCAGCTTTGCACAATACTTTGGAGTACTCTCATTTATTAGGGTTACTCTTCTGGAGGGGGGGTGGTTGTGTAATTCTATCAATGTACTGCTATTGTGCCCAATTGAATGAGTCAAACAGCACTTTCAAGCTGACACCCTTATTTGTCCCAGATTTAGCATGTCCCTATCCCCACTCTTACATCACAATTGTACTGGTAGTAACCCACTTGATGCGCAAACCCCAGAGTATTTTTGGGCGCTACAGGGTTCTGTAGCTTAGGAAAAAGAAGCATTGCTGCAGAATAAATGTGGACGATACAAACAGAAGAGTAAAGTTATTTATGGACTAATAGTGATAACTACTCAAAGGAGAGCCTAAACAAAAATAAGTGACATTATTAAAGGTTAATACCTGAGGTAGAAAAGGAAACAGAGAGGGAAATTGAGGGATCTCACCCACTCCAGGAAGCTTGAACCCGTGAGGCTTCCCAGCTGATGATCGTAGCTCAGAGTCTTGGAGTAGATGAAACCCCAGTGGAACTCAGGCAGAATTTGGGTCTATGCATGCTGTCACGGACTCACAGATCGTGCCCACTCTTGGCCCCGTGTGGTCTGTGTGGGGTGCCCCTTTCAGTGAGACAGCCCTTCTCGGGGGTCCACTCTCTCTCGGGGTCAGGCCCCTCCACCTCCTGGAGCTGCACCTCCCTCAGCCCAGCACACCCCAGTCTCTCTGCATCCAGGTGGGCTCTGCTTGCTCCCCCTCTCCAGCCCAGAGCCCCCCTGCTCCCAGCTGTCCCCGCCTCTGTCCATTGTCTTCACTCCAGGTAAAGAGGGTCGTAAACCAGGGCCTCCTCTCCTGCTTCTGTGCTCTGGCTGGAACCGGCTGGTTAGGTCACTGGGTCCTCACTCTGCAGCCCATTGTCCTCCCACTGGCCAGAACCGGCTGCGTCTCCTCAGCTGGGCCTCTGGGTCACCAGGTCGCCGGGGTATCCATTCTCCAGGCCATCGGCTGGGTCCCCAAGTCCTCTCTCCGGTCCTCTGCAAAACACACTCCCTCTCCCCTCACCTTGTTAAACCAGTAACACCCAGGGAAACTGAGTCCCACCCCCTCCACATGCAAACCATTGAAACTCCACAGAAAACAAGAAACCCCCCACTTCGTCACACATGCATCAGAAATGTTACTGGAGAGTCAGTATATGGTTTTGTAGAGAAAATTGCTTGAAGGGAGGAGACTAGATTTGTTTATGGGTAAACTAATGACTCAAGGAATTTCTTTAGGATAGACAATAGGAGCTGGTCACTCTTACCTATGGCTGGTGTTACTTCAGGGTGCTGACAATGAAATTCGTCCGCTTCAGTATTTTGGATATCAATGCAAGTTTCACTACTAGAATTGGTCTAACTGATGAGCTGGGTGTGGATGAGGGTAAGGGAGTTGCCAGAAACTTGTCAGCAGGGATATAGGTGTGTCTCACACCTCCATTTAATACTGTATGCAAGTTTTTTCAAAGATCATTTTTTGTTCAAGCGGTGTGTGTGTGTGTGTGTGTGTGTGTGTGTGTCTTGCAGACTGGATACTGTGCCCTGATTCCCCAAGAAGACCGTTATTATCTGTGATTGCAGAGATCTTAACACAGCATTGAGCATAAAATGAGCTTTAACAATATGCTGTGACTACTTACATTAAAGAAATCCAGTCCACCATGGTTTAGGAGAGAGACCACTGATTGACCAATAAGAATCGGTTGTTGCAGATCCCCATAGTGCAATTTTTTTTTCTTTTCCATTGTCAGTGCAGCTTTTATTTTGGTGAGTTTTGCACACAGATGCAGAAATGTGGACTTGCGCATCCAAAAGTTCTGCAGCCACTGGTTATGAGCCCAAGCCTTCATTGTTTCAGAAGATTTTTTGCCCTTGGGAAGGATGTAAGATGACACCATATAATACACTACACTGAATATTTGTGAATCAGCTTCTACACACAAGTCCAGCACACAGGCCTTGCTGTCTTTTCACTGCAGTCCTTGATCTTGGTGACAAATCTGTAGAGAATTACTGGAACCATAAACTCCCTGAACATTAAATCTCACCAAATGAGGGTCAATCCATCCTCATCATTATATCTACTCATTATACTCCACACCCGTACATAGCCACTATATGAACTTCATACCCTCATATCTCAATGCCTGTACTTTGACCCATCACCCTTTTACCTCCAATCGGGGATATTGCAGATTATGTATTCCTTAGGCCACCTGATTTTAAACCAAACTTTGCACCATCGATAATCTGTACAGTATTCCCTGATAACCAGAAACTTCTATGCTCAAACTCTGTTCCCTTTTTTTTTTTTTAACATCTTAATAAAAATTTTAAATCTGTTGAAACTGGTCTAGGTCTAGGCGAGAGAATGTCTCAGGGCTGCCCGGGGGGGGGGCAAGTGGTGCAATTTGCCCCAGACCCCGGGGGCCCCGCAGGGGCCGCCATGAATATGTCGGAGGCTCCCCCTGCATCCGTCTTCCCCCATCCCCCGGCGTCTCAGTGCGCCGTGTCCGGGAGCGGCCCTGGTGCGCTGCAGCTAAGCAGCTGGTATACATACCATTAAAGCATTTAATGTTTTTAAATAATGTATTTAGTGTATTTTCAAATTATTACAAAGCAAAGCAATTTTTGGGGCCCCTTCCATAAAAAAAAGTTGCAATACTACAGTAACATGTATTTGGAAATGTAAAAAAAAAAATAGTGAAATACATTCAAAAATTAATTTGTAATAATTTGAAAATACACTAAACACATTATTTAAAAACATTAAATGCTTTAATGGTATGTATACATTTGCAATTACATAATGGGCTGTTGCTG